GCACGGAAAGCCGTAAAAATCTTGAACAAAAGCTCATCTTTCAAACCGGCAGTCTAAATCCCACAGGGATCAACGAACGCTTTTCATTCCACTAATTTATTCATGTTTTTCTCGTTGCCATGTTCCCACCAATAACGTAGCTCCATTTTCTGCCTTTAAAAACACACACAACCCACAATTCATCTATTCGCTCCGACGAAGGGCTAACGCTCGAAACGTCAGCTTTTGTAATCGTTACGGTGGCCAATTTACCATTTCAACTTTGTTGATATATCCAAATGATTTTGTACAATGATTCGAATTAGATACAGCCGGTTATGCACATGCGTAGCACCTGTCAAGACACAGTGAATTTCCCTGACACGCGATCTATAACAATGCAGTACACAATCATTTCTACAACTGATGTGGTTGACCACCAATCTCCCTCCAGAGAACAAAAAAGAGACAGTGATCTAAAACCATCCTATTTGTTTTGATTAAGGGGGGATCCATTCGTTCTACGGTCTTCGATTAGGAATAGATGTCACAGCTTTCAATTCTTTCCATAATTTAATTTTCATTTGTTGAAGTTTTCTTCTTTTCCATTTTTCATTGCGATGATATTCTATATTTCCACTGCTGAGGCCAAAAACACAAAATAACGATGGCCTCTATAAACCTTAGTTTATAAAGTTATGAAAGTTACACAAAGAGCAAATCTTGGATCAGCGAAGGTGCGTTTTCTGATCTCGAATCATTGTTCAGTAGTCATAATTGTTTTCTTTTTAAGATTCTCATCTAACTCAGCTTTATGAGGTAATTAAAAGCCTCTTTGAAAATAAACGTATTGAGTTGGTACCTATCATTTCTCTAATATCATTGGGGAAAAATTACTCCTTAATTTTGGCGAAATATAATTTTCGAAGGCTCAGAAAATTATCAAAATTTTGGCAAAAAGGGCGTAAAACTATTTTCTCATTTCATTTTATTTTCTCTCTCGTTGACACCGTTTGATTACAAATACATGTACCTATTCAACAAATTGTTATTTTGTTCACATCTTTAAGAAGTGTGTACAATCGACCGAAATTCTGGTTGCGAGAGATGGGCAGCTGTTGGCGAGTGTGAAAAGAACCCAGTGTGGATGATACCGAATTGTTGCGTGAGCTGCAAGCATCATCAGGCGTCAAAAGGTAGATGAACATATACAATCCTAAATTATATCATGATCCTACGAATGTCCCTCGGGCGCTTTCCTAGAACGGGTTGATTCTTATTAGGGCGTGAAAAACATTAAAGGCAAAAGTGCGCATCATCTATATCCAGTAGAAAGTTAATGGCGCTTTATAATGTAAATCAAAATATAATACATTAAATCTGAACTTCGTTGGAGTGGTGATATAGAAATATATAGAAATATCGTAATCATGATGGTAATGATATATATCTTATTAACCAAACGCGAGGGCCGTACTGGGAGAATATCGGCCCGAGGTCTTGACAGTACGGACCGAGCGCAGCGTGGTCCGTACAAAAAAGACCGAGGGCCGATATTCTTCCAGTACGGTCCCGAGCAAGCTTGGTTAATAAGAGATTTATTATACGACTGAAGTTCAAAGGGACACAAGTGCGGTATCATTCGGGACCATTCGGGACGGTGCCCGGTCCAATGCTGAGAGAATATTGACCGGCAATAGAGCATTTTGATTGGTTGATTTTAGTTATTGGCCCTCTGACTGCCCGAGTCGTGTAATAATGATGATTATAACAATATCAACAATAATAATGATAGAAATAGTAATGATGAAAATAATTAGCATAATTGTAATGATGATGATGATGATGATGATGATGATGATGATGATGATGATGATGATGATTAGTGGCAGAGATGTTGTCACAACCAATATTAATAATCAATGAAAACTAAGAAAACAGTTGTTTTGTTTTGGAAGAAAACGAATACTGTGAAACTTTGACACAAAAGTAAAATAACTGTTTGCTCGGCAGACTGTTCCGATTCAAACCCAAGCTGCCCACGGTGGGCTTACGCTAGAGAATGCGAAAACAACAGAGCATGGATGCTTAAAAACTGCAGAAAAAGCTGCAATCAATGTGGAGGTGAGTTGGCTGAGGCGGGCGTCTAAACGAGCTGCCCTCAAAGAGAACAGAACTGAAAAGTTACAGGAGACGGGGCTACGTACAGAGCAGAGCACCCGTGAGATTAGACAGGAATGGAAAAATTTACGATGGAGATGACTTTAGATCGTGGTATCAAGTGGCGACGATGGCTGCAGCATCAGCTCCTAGGCAAATTTCACCAAATTCCAGAGCCCCTTAAAAAGTGAAGCCATTCGTAGAAACTCATAATCATATTTAAAGATTGATTACTCGATAAGTAGTTTAATTAATTATTCTGCAAGATTAAATACACCCGGCTGTTTTGACACGTTCACAGATTGTACAGATTCTGACCCCAAATGTCCATCGTGGGCGTTATCAAACCAATGCAGCTCGGGTGATAAGATGAACGAAAAATGTAGGAGAAGTTGTGGCTTATGCAGAGGTAACAAAGGCATGTTTCAGTTCATTCACGCTTAGTGCAGAAGTCCCTCTTTCAAATTTTCCTAACCCTCTCATTGTCTCTCTCCGGTGAAATATCAGGTAAACCTGGCAAAATGTTGGAACAACGCACCTAAAATAGCATCCAATCCAGGGGGACGGGATTTTGTAGCAATACCTCAGGCACTTTCGTTCCCGGAATACAACAGGGTGGGGTTCTTAGCTAGTGTACACAATTGACCTCTAGTTGACTTAACACTGTATGCAAAATACATATTTTTTTATGAAATTCGATGAAAACTTGACGCGTGAAAAGAATATACACAATTTAAAAATACAACATTCTTCACAGTTTACGACAGACACAAAGAGTGTTCCGCCTGGTCTGCGATGGACGAATGTAAAAAATCCAACTGGACCTGGATGGTGGATCAGTGTCCACGAAGCTGTGATGTACCATGTAAGTGACAGTTCTCCGATAAAAAAAGGTTCAATTGTTTCAGTTGAGAGACCTGGTTAAGAACAATGAGACTTGAAACCTGCTTTACAGACGACAGCAGCGTTCTGCGCGATTTGAAGATTTTGCATCTCTCCCACTTCTCTTTAGCACGTTGTGATGTTTCATAATTGAGAATCGTTTTCAAAGTGAGTACAGGTCAATCAGTATCTACTGTATACCTCATGAAACATAGAAAAATGTTCTCCTAAATCTTTACCTTTCGGCTCTATCCTATCCGGCGGGTACTTTAGACTCAATTTGTTGTTGTTGTTTTTTTTTTTTAGTATCTTTCGAAATGGCGTATCAACCAAAGGAAAGCCACCTGAGTTATTTTCTTTTCAGTTTCAGAAGCCTCATTTTGTGGTGGGAAAGACAACGGTGATTACCAGGCCCCCACCACGTGCCAAGCGTACATAGCGTGTTCATATGGTGTCACAAGTCACGTGAAATGTCCAGCTGGAAAGAAATTTGACACAGTCAAGAGAATGTGTGTACTCGCGGAGCAAGCCTCCTGTACAGTGGTTCTTCCGAGTAAAAAGTCAAAGCCATTTATGATGGTGACGCTGTGAAAGAAGAACCTAATTTAATATTGGTTAAAAGGCCGACCGCTTCTGGCTTTATATACGTTTGAATCCTTTCTTTATTTCTAGAGAAGTGATGATCAAGCTCCAAGCGGAAAACTCACCTCTTGATTTGAAATGTTCGGCTCATTTTGCACCAATTTTATTAGTTTAAATTGTAGTTATGACTTTGGACACTAGCTGTTAACTGCGAGAAACCCTTTTAAGCCTCCGTAAGAAAAAGTATTTTTAACTCTGCGATGAGCGGAACTTTCTTCCTTTTCGTCTTGTTATAATTATTTATCATTGCTATTATCACTACTATTATCATTGCTATTTTAATGGACATGGACACTTAAAGAGTAAATTTTGTGAAGATTTGTTTTGTGCAAACTTATTTTTGTGCAAAATATTTCATGGCACTCGGTACTCTGACTTCACCGAGTGAATCACATAAAATGATATAAAAGATATTGTTACTTTGTCTCGTTTAAGTACTTGGTGACCTTTTAACGGGTACCACAAAAACCATGCTAAATTTTGTTAAGAAATGCGAAGAGGTATGACCCGTTACATATACGTCAAATAGTGCAGATTATTTCTGGTTACCACTCTTTGAGCACAAAAGTACTCGAAAAGTTGACAATATTGAGGAACAGCGACAGAAATCGACGTTTTTCTCCTAACACTGCTTTGGCCGTTGACCTGATGTGACCTTTCTGGTTATCTAAAGCTAAATTTCTGAACAGGTCAACTGATTAACAACCTAATGAGCCGGTGTAAAGGCGTAAATCTGAAATAAGAATCACTGGCTGTGTCTTGTGACAGTAATAATATCGGTCAGACATAATCTTGTTATGTTTCCTCGGAGAAGGAAAAGAGATGCATTTGGCCATTTTCTTTGTTTGGTTGCTTGCTTCATTTCACAGTTTCGCACAAAAGACAGGGTAACGTCTCTTTCTATTGTCTCGCCAAGCAGTGGGGATTTTAAGACTTGTAGACTCTCTACCGAAGAAAAAGAAAAGTTCCTCGACGAACACAACAAATTTCGCGGATTGGTACAGCCAACTGCGGCCGACATGGAGTTTTTGGTAGGTAAAAGATATCAAGACAAAGATTTTAGGGCTAAGTTAAAATCTTTGAGCTTTCAGGGTCGAATCTGACTGAAACGCTGAGACAGAAAACTATCTGCCGTCGCTCTTTCCCGTAAAATGTCAAATCAGTTCACTCCTCAAGAGTCTTAAATTAACAAACAAACCAGTTATCTTGTTTGTTTACCCGCGAGCAGGAATGGCGTAAGTCAGGAACTGTATAAGTGTATATTTCCAAGTCAGTACTTTCACTTGGGCCACAAAACTAGCTTGGCTATTGTTTAAGGGTTTGATCTAATTTCAAGGTAATAGTATCACCGAAAAAATTGCAAACCAGTGTTATGAAACTCTCCTGTCTCACATATGGCCTTTTCCTCGCAGAATGTGAAAAACATCCGTCTTCTTTCAGTGCGCTTTGTGAGTAAGATAAGATGTATTGACGAACTAAGATGAGATTATCAAACTGACTTCGACTGTAAGAAAGTGCATTAGGAAACCACAATGCTTTCCATATCAGTTACTTACGTAAAATCGACAAATCCCGACCAACGCCTTGATTTTCCCTGTTTGTCCCGTTATTTCCTCTTGACTAAGTATATCCTGGGTGGTAAAATTATCCACGCACAATAGCGTGACTAATACTGCAACATCTTTGACGACAGGTGTGGGACGACAATCTGGCTAATTTGGCACAGATGTGGGCAGACAAGTGCATATGGGACCACGGGTTTGTGAAGTTCGGTACTCAATATCCATACAGCGCGCCCTTCAAGGGACAAGTAGGTAAATGTATTTCGTACAATTTATAACTCAAACTGTTACATCAAACTACACCTACTTCGCCAAAGGCTTCACCTACTCCACCATACTACACCAAACTACTTCATACCCCACCAATCTACACTCACCACACCGAACTACACCTACTACACTGACCTACACGTAATACACGTACTACACGCAACTAAACCAAACTACACCTACAACATCAAACTTCAAACTTCTCCTCATGACCAATAATAACCCTAGAACTCCCAATCTTGCAGTCAGATACTGTACCTCTACAGTATAGAGAACTCGTTATAAAGCTATGCCATAAACTGGGCTCATATACGAAAAGCGCCTGCGTTCAACAATCTTATAAACGTCCTTTGCGGAGAATGAGCAGGACAAACGGTAATTTTTCTAGCTAGATCGTTGAATGAAAAAAGATCATAAACATCAATCGGGTATGTAACGTAGATATCAACTGTGATAAATAAATTCAATCCCTTCCTGCCTCAGCTTTTTAAATTGCTGTGATTTTGCTCACAGGTCAAAATCTAGCTAGGGAGTATGGTAAGCTTCTGAACCCAGTGGACCGCGTGGCGAGATGGTACAATGAATACAAATACTGGAAATTTGGCAAGTACACAAGTCCAATGGGTGCTTCTTGTTCAAAGCCACCTTGTGGACATTACACACAGGTATTTTAAAGCTGCTGCGCATATGTATCTAGTTCACCAGGCATTTAAAAGAGTTCTAACGAAAATGGAAGGATCCAGTCGACAGCGAGGCCAAAATCAGTGACCACCGAATTAAAAAATTTGTCTTTTAGCCGTGACGGGGATAACTAAATCAACAAGCCTTAGGACGCACGAAAAGAAGAGTGAAAGTGTTAAAATGAGTAAACTAGGAATTTTAAAATCAAGCGATAAAATATGACAATAAAGAGGAAATCAAGCAAAAGTAAAATGGCGCAAAAATAAACACAAATCAAAGAACAACTAAATGAACTGAAGGAGAAGAGCTTATATGATCCGACAAACGAACTTGTATACGTAAATAACGGACTATCATAGAATCGCAGACGAAGGTCGTCGACAGGCAAACAGTTGGATGCATCACATTGCTCGTCCCTATGCCCTACTAAGATGCAATCATCAGCCAGTGCTAAGAAGGATGTTTCTACAAAGGTATAAGCACAAAACTTGATAATTTTTTTTTTCAGATGGTGTGGGCTCAAGCGAAGCATCTTGGATGCGCAGTTAACCTCTGTTCGAACTTTTTTAACTACGGTCGCGCGGGTACAATGGTGGCTTGTGACTATACGACGTAAGCATAAGCCTTTTCTTCATATTCTATACGTGTTAGCAATTTTTTTTTACTGTTTTCATGCGACTGTCGACCTGTTGTCCAACTCTACAGCGTTGGTCTTAAGGTAATGTAGGTTTTGCTTTCCTCTTGAACTTTAGTGGCAACAATGACAACGAATACCCATACAAGACCGGGACCCCATGCACCAAATGCGTATCTGGTAAAGGATGGTGCTACAAAAATCTGTGTCGTAAGTGAAAAGAAACCAATTGAGATAAACAAATGGGCTTTTTCGGGCGCAGTACCACTACGTTATAATGTAAACGCGACAGCACAACATGAAACATAAGAGGCCGTAGCGTCCGCCTATAATTGCAGAATAGATATATTCTGTCGGCGGCATCGCGGCATCCTTATTTACAGTTGTTTATATGTGGTCCACGATAGTGAACGCTCAATGCTTTGTCGCGTTAATCTGCCATTCCCAGCTTTGTGACTCTTCAATTTCGGTCTGTTTATATGTCTGTTCACTAGAACTTTTTCCCTTTTTCTTTTCATTTATTTTTCTTATGTTTGCTAGTTGCGGAGTTTCTCTTATGTTTTGTCTGTCTAAGTTGAGTGAAATCTCTCAATGGTCATGATTTACTCACTAGTTTTATTAACCCATTCGTTATCGGCTCCTGGTTTTAACCATCCCTGCCATTTTGTAATGGTTACTTCTGTAACTCGATTTGAATGGTAAATGTAGTCAGTAGTAACGTAACCGTGGATTTGAGTGTTTACATCAACATTGTCCAACGTAAAATTACAGTCCTGCACAGGGTTTTAGGGGTTGCGATGTAATGAGAAGCCAAGACTGACAATTCACATCAGCTGTAACCTTAATAACATGGTGTTCAAGGTTACAATGTAGTACAAGTGAAGACTCTGAACAACTACATGAGCTGTAACCTTAGTAATAGGATGCTTGAAGTTACGAGTAATAGACAGAGCTGAATAACTTGTGCGCATGCGCTAGGTTTTGGCGCGAAAACACTAAGGTTTTTTTTTATTCTGTTGCTTCGAGGTGTTGTTTTTCTTGCCGCTTTTCTTTTGCAGAATAACTTTTTAAAACTTTGTACACCCCCTGAATAGTTTTGAAAATTAATTTCTCCTAAAAACTTTGGAAATAAGAAAATGGGTTCGGCGATAACAAAATGCCTCTGTTTGAAATGCCAGCTACTCGGTGTTATTTTGGAAAATTTCGCTGAATTTTAAACCTTGCACGCCTGAGCCCGCGTTGTTGACTGCACACCTTTGACGTTATTCAGCTCTGTTGATGTAATACCAAACACAGACTAACAATTCAGGACGCATATCTCATTAATATCAAAATTAATTTCAGGAAATTGTACTGACTTCGACAAAGATTGCGGGGGTACTACTTTGACGACAGCGATGTGTTCTTCACACCCCGAATTAATGGAGAAGAAGTGTCCTAAACTTTGCAACATGTGCAGTGAGTACACATCGATGGCAAACATTAATCTGTCATCATGTCTTGCCTAAAGTTTACTAATAAACACTACAGAGTAGACATTTAAAAAAAACAATTAGTTCAAGAAAACTTAGGAATTGTTCGGCTCAGTGCAGTGAGCTAACTGCGTACAGGAAGAATTTAAGGCCCAATATTGCTTGTCTCAGGTCTGCAGATTTTTCGTAAAAATGAGGTTATAAAATTAAACAGATCGTGACATTTTAAAGAAAGAGGCAACTCAGAAGTGATCAGTGTTTTAAAAACGATATAATAATGAGTAGCCATAAGAGTCGTTGCATACACTCAGGAAAATTCTCATTAACCTACTGGTCCATTTGAAAATATATAAGTGATTCTGTGGATTATCAGCAAATTATCCAAAAAGAATTTAAAGCATTAATCAGAAGGTTGAAATCATTTTCGATATTTTTCATGTTGTCAACTCAACATCAGGAAACTAAACGCGAATCTAAGTGCAAACAGGCGCTCGTAAAATCTAAGCGCAATCTGAACACGGTTGTCATTCTCATTTCACATCAAAATTTTACATGCAAGTAAATATTTTACATTTAAAAAGCACGTCAAAGGCATCTGAAAGCCATGTGAAAGCGTTTTCACTTGCTTTTAAACTAATTCTTGAAGCTTACGCGTAAAAAACATGTACCCACACATTTATTTTAGAACAGTGAATACCGAAAGAGGGTAAGTTTCTAAAGCCGGAAACTGTGGTGCTGCGTCGGTGGGGGTAACAAGGTAATTTGGCGATATCAACTAAGTTGAAATTGTAAATTGGCTACCGTAAGGAGTTAAAAAGCTGACGTTTCGAGCGTTAGCCCTTCGTCAAAGCGATGAACTCTTTACGGTGGCCAATTTACAATTTCAACTTAGTTGATATTGCCAAATTATTTTGAGAACAGTGATGGTGATTCAGTTTGTGGCCGATCTGACTGAACACGAATCGGAAATTTGAACCCAGGCCTCATAAGAAGTGCATAAGTGATAAATTTAATTTTCTTGTGGGGTATACCATAAATTCCCCGATCTTTTTATCTCTTTCTCTTCAGAGTGTCCTTTAAAATGCCAAAACGGAGGGACAATAAACCCACAGGACTGCGTTTGTTCTTGCGCTTCTGGCTGGAGGGGTATGGACTGTTCAGGTAGGCCACACGAATCGGTAACGTGAAGTACAACGACTTTATGAATCTGAAACTTCGGGTTAAGGATTGATTGTCTGGGAAAGCTGACAAAATGCCGTAGGGTTAACTTCCCATTCTGTGGGAGTAGTCAGTGATACCACAAGACGCCTCACGACAGCTCAGGCGGTATGGGCCACTTTGTACATGCGCGTACTTCACCCCACTTAATGATATATTTTTGTCTCCTCCAATCTCTTTTCTAGACAAGGCATGTGAGCCTGGCTATTATGGAGAAAATTGTGAAAGTAAGTCAGCGATATGCTTCTTTCAGTTATGCCATAGATTCTACGACTTGTTCATTTCAGGCTTTTGCTTTATAACACTGAATTCCTTGATTTTTTTAAACCAAAAAGTTTGCTCATTCATTTAAGATATCAACCTAAAATATAAAAGGAGGATAATCAGTTATCATTGTCCAGATTTGTTTGCAGATGATCCCTCCTGACACATCATTGAAGACCTTTTGGCTGGTGGGAAATGATTAAAAAGTGCGCTATTCTATGGCGTATCTCGCAAATTATTAAAACAGTGGGCAGACAATTTTTTATCGCATGATATGTGCCATAAATAACTAATCTTCCCTTGACATCGTTTCAGATCGTTGTTACGACAAGGCTGGGACAGAAAATTGCCAATATCGAGTGAAAAAGGGTCATGATTGTAAAAAAAGATACATGGAAATAGAATGTGCCTTGACCTGCGGATACTGCGGTAAAAATATGAAGGTTTTTAATCAGGTCAAGATCCACGATCTGTTTGCTACATAAAATGAAGGTTCCAACCTAAAGCTGGTCATCAAAAGGCCATGCGTAATAGCACTATAACCCCTTAAATTGTTGATATCATCATTCAGTATCCCTATTCAGTTTCAAGCATTTTTTTGTAATGCGCATTTGAAAATTGCTTTATTTGCACATAAGACATTTATATCATATCTTTATTATCCGATTATTGGTTATTTAATTGAAAAATGATCAGAATAAGGGAAATCGTAGAAAGAGTAGAGCACTTCCTGTAAAACACTCTTAAACACGAAGGCGCGCTATATAAGGAAGTCTTCCCTGAGAAGACCTAGGCTCATTTGTCACTCACCGTTGACGTGTGCGGGTCAAATTTAAATGCTGGTAGACGAACAAAAGGAGCTAATGAGATATCTATTGTTTACTTCCACCAGCATGGTGGCATGAGGTGAGGTAACGACATAAAGACAGTTTCCATTGGAGAAAGGAAATACAAATCTCAAAAATTCTTGATGAAGACATAAAACGATTTTGAGGAATGTGCCCGCTGTTCACTGCTTTGGAGTAGCTGTAGCTCAAGCTGACTTGACTCTAAGATTTCTACATCACACGACGGTTGATTGACAAATGGTCCAGTGAGACCTAAGGCTCCTTTTATAGCGCGCCTTCGTGTTTAAAGCGAATTATGAGAGATGTAGGTTGTTGCGATGGATGTAAGTCGTTTTTCGCGTACGAAATGATAAATTCTTTTCTTATTCAGTCCCTGCAGGTGGTCAAGTCACCACAACAGCAGCTCCCGTGACAGCTATGCCAACTACACCTCAATCTGGAGCAGTAACCTCCATACCTGTAGGTAAGTGTACTCTCCGTAAGCAAACATTTCAGTGTGGCATTAATAGGTGATAGGTCGGTAATAGAGGTGGCGTCTAAGTTTTTCAAAGGTTGCGGAGAAGAAAAAAAGGTACAAGTTATTAAAGAGTGCTCTTAGGGAAAGCAAAGCTCCATCACATCTATTCAAGAAAAAAATTGAACAAAACCTTTCAACTAAAAATCCCGAAGTGAACATGACGGTGATATTATTTTGGTTTCTCATTGTCTATTCATAGTTTCTTCCACTGTGACTCCAAATGCAATAGCGGTTCTACCCACACCCAAGCCTCAAGGTATGCCTAAGTAAAAACACTATATTTACTGAATATTTACAAAAGTTGGCACCTTTAATTTAGACTAATTTGTTCAGTTACACAAACAGAAGTGAAAGTGAGACATTGGTTGCCACTTCCCTAATAGTTTCGATTTTGGGGCTTCAAGTCATTCCATGGTCTGTGACTGGGAAAATATGTCACACCTCTAAAATCTACAGAAAAGGTATAAATATTTTTTTCAAGTTTAGGATATCATATCTCCTCGAAAAGAAATGTGTTAATTTAGTATTTAGTACTGCTCTTTTTTAAACCTTTTTATGTTTGATCGTATATCTTATTGACTCGAAGTGTGCACAACTGACCTAAATTCTGGTTGCGAGAGATGGGCAGCTGTTGGCGAGTGTGAAAATAATCCATTGTGGATGATACCGAACTGTTGCGTGAGCTGCAAGCATCATCAGGCGTCAAAAGGTAGATGAGCATAAACAATCCTAAATCATATCCCTCACACATGGATGTCCTGCGAGCGATTTGCTAAAACGGGTTGATTATAAAAGAGGAAAGGAAAAATCTATGCGGGACGAGTGCGCATTGCCTAACCAATAACAAGTTAAGGAGGCTTCACAATGTAAATCAATCCATGATACATTAAACCTCTAAGCCGATGTACTGGTAATTTGGAACAGATATATGAAAATAATATGATGATAATCACACTACTAATATTGCGATCTTGTAACATCCATAAACGAAGTAATTTTTTCTCGCAGACTGCGCTGATGCAAACCCAAGCTGCCCAAGGTGGGCTTACGCTGGAGAATGTGAAAACAACAGAGTATGGATGCTTAAAAACTGTAGAAAAAGCTGCAATCAATGTGGAGGT